GGAGGGAGGGGAAAAATGGGGACCTAATGTCGGGGGTTTAAGTGGAGAAAAAATGTTTTGAGAATGATGTACAAATGTGCTTTACACAATTGATGTGTGTATGGATTGCGATAAGAGTTGTATGAGCTCCTAATAAAATGTTTTAAAAAAAGACCAAAAAAACCCCTCAGCTTATACATGAGTATATATGGTATATGTATTAAATGAACATTTTAAAATGAAAACAAAGAAATTGTGAATATTTTAAAGTAATATTTTATTCTAGTTTATAATTTAAAAATAGGTCTTTGCTAAAATCAGCTCTAAACTTTACAAGATTTAAAAGTAGTTTTAAGTTAATTTAAATATTTTTAAGTCTTATAAACTGTGGAGATGGTTTTAGCAAAGACCCTTCCCTCAGTTTTCTTAGCCATTAGACAAATTGGTGTATTTCACTAGGTGTTTTGTTCCACCACCCCCCAAAGTCTTCACTAAAGGTGTTTTGTTCCACCCCCACTCCCCAAAGTTTTTGAGGACATGGTGATGAATGTCTTTTCAAACAATAATAATAAACCCCCTAAAAATTGAGGTAGATCTCATTCCTTAAACCTCTCCTACCAACTTTCCACCTTAGAAAACTCCATAAAGTACTACTATGCTTTTCTCCTCACAGAGATCACAGCCTGGGCACTTCACAGTTGGGAGCCCATGGAATATTGTCATGCTCGCATAGATGTATCCCAGTGAATTAGATGGAGATGACAAAGGGCCAACTGAGCATCCTTCATCCAGGGTACGTGGAATCAACCCAGCTTAGGGTGGGAGAGATGCCCACGTCATAGCAATCTTACCGTTTTGTCAGTATCTTCAAAGATTTCTCGGGCCTCTTCATATGAGCAGGTCTCTTCCAAACACTCCCTTTCAAGGTTTCCCTTCTTTAACTCTTCCCAAAGTGAATTTGCCCTCCTGGCCCTCTGCAGGACATTGCTGGCGTGTTCGCGGTTAATGAATACTAGAGGACAGAGAACGACACAAGCTTTATTTGGTTACGCTACTCTCCCCTACAATGCTGCACAAGGGTGGAACTCTTGTTTCCTCATACGCTAAGAAAGCTGGCAGAGAAATGTCCTTCTCCCTTCGTGATTTTTTCATGGGTTAAATTATAAAGTACCTGTTTTCAAAGTCTCTTCTCTGGAGAAGTAAACACATACTATTCAGTCAACCTATCAGCCTCCCTATGCATTCAAACCCAGCTGTAGTCTACCTAGATCTTTTTTGAAGCTCTCTCTTCTCATGGCGCTTCAAGGTCATTATATGGTTGACCTATTACTATCCCTATGACCATTCCACTCTGTGCTTTGGCTCAAGCAGTATTCCCTGTAGCCCTTTCTCAATTCTATATCCTATTTAACCTTTAAGATCTATACTCTATCTCAGTTTTCTGGATTATGTAGGGAAGATATGATACTTTTTTATCATGAACTACAGTAAGAAGTACATTTTATATCAAGTCACAGGACACACACAATTAAAACCACCATTTGAAAAACTTGTATTTATTCTGTGTCTCCTTGATATTTTCTATTTGTGTTTTATTTCATACAATTTTTAATTGATTTCTGCATTCATACGTGAGTCATGACCCAAGGATTACAATGTCCTGGGCTTGAGAATTCTCATGGTTCTTTTGACAGTGTGAGTTTATGACCAGGTTACCTTCTATTCTCTGTGCCTCCACTGTCTCATTCATCAGTTGCTCATCCTTCATGCATTAGGATTACAGAAGACTCTCAATGATTTTTCTGGCCTTTACCTCTTCTCTTTCTATCCCCTGCCCCAAGAAGATTTCAGAGAATTTCACTATAATAAATATGAACTTCCAAATTGGTGTTTCTGACATTGACTTTCATCTTGAAATCCATATTTTCAACTGCCTGACCGTGATGGGTAATCCCCCCTTATTTCAGAACACCAAACTCACAAAACTGAAAATGCAGGACAGCAAACTCAAAAAATCTTGGTGGGTTTGCTATCACTTACTAATTACTGTAAGGCCATGGTGGCATGGTGGGGGTGATGGAGGGTCTGCTAACTGCAAGGTTGACAGTTAAAACCCACCAGCTGCTCCACAGCGGAAAGATGAGGTAGGCTGCTTCCATAAAGATTTGCTGTCTCAGAAATCCTAAGGAGTCGTTCTACTATGTCCTACGGGGTCACTCTGAGTCGAGTTTGATTCAATGGCAGGGGTGGTGACCACTGGGTTGTAACTATGGACATGTTATCAGGGAAGACCAGCTTCTGGAGAAGGACATCGTTTGGTAAAGGAGAGGGACAGCGATAAAAAGGAAGACCCTGACAGGAAGGATTGCTAGAGTGGCTGCAGGGATGGCTCGAACAAAGCAATTGTGAAGATGGCGCAGGACTGAGTGGGCCTCAGTGAATTGGAACCACTCATTGGTACCAGCCAACAACAGAATTTCTCAGATTTTGTTTTAAGTATAAAAACTTATAATTGAGTTTGGTACATACTCAGTGCTTAATAAACATTAGCTTCATTCCTCCCTCAAATTACTCTCCCTCCTAATTCCCCATTTCTTTCAGTGACAGCTGCGTTATCCTGACAGCTCAAGGTTCAAACTGGTTGTTCGTTGATACTTCTCTTTTCTTCTTCAAATTCACTACTAAGCCTTGTCCTGTCAACATTAAACATTTTTATTGTCGTGGAACTATATACAGTAAAACAATAGTTTCCACGTGGACCGTTCAGTGACCATGGGTCACATCCTTTGAGTGTCCATCCGTTCTTGTTGCCCTTTTCCAAATAATCCCACTGCCATTAATGAGGAGCCTGACACCCTGAAACAAAAATTCTTCCTTTCCCCTGCCCCTGGGTACTGCTAATAATTGCCAGTGCCTGTGTAGTTGTTTATTTCAACTGAGACGGCACGGTATTTGTCCTTTTGTGACTGATTGATTTCAGCATAATGAAAAGGCCTGACCATGTCATTATGTTTAAAGTCTGAGTAACAGCAAGTGCCAGAAACCTGTGCTTTGAAATATGACTCACATTTTCTGGCATGTTTGTTCACACAGCCACCCCCTTCTCACGGGTTCTCATGTTGGAATTAACCAGCATCTTAATCCAGTATCTCTCAAATCGTGACCCTGCATCCTAGTGGAATGGGGCTTGGGTATATGTACTGTAACACACTTTCTGGATATTCCAGTGTACACAGGTTTGAGAGCCACTGCCTGAGGACACCTTCATTTCTTCCACATGATCTTCATCCTTTCTCCAGATGATCTACATGTGTCCCCATTTCTCTAGAACCATAGTGAGTTTTCATGGACTACTTCAAGGGACCAGGTACAACCAAGTCAGCACCTAACAGTGTCACTCCACCCGCCAGGCTAGCTTTTCTTCCTTTGATCTTAAAGAAACTCGCCATTCCAGAATGCCAGACTACATCCTTGTCCTCATGGCATTTCTATCCCAGCACTTTCCCCTCATGCTTCTCCACCACCTAGAATATGCCTCTTCTCTGTGTTTCTGATCCAAGCCCTATGTTCTGTCTGCCCCTCCATAAAGCCTGGCCTTGCCTCTTCCCAGCTGGCCTCGATAGTACAGCACCTCTGAATTTGAGCTAAATGGATAGTGAGGGAGGAGGGGGGCATCAGTATAGGCACAGGAGTCCTAGTGGAAGGGATGATGCCAGGTAAGTCAAGAACTGGAGTGCCATTCATCTTTCCCAAACCTTGCACTAAGACTAGTGCTGTGGCTTGCTGCTCTTGTTGGTGATGTTGAGTTGGTTCTGACTCACAGCGACCCCATGTACAAAGCTCTGCTCGGTCCTGTGTCATCCTCACAGTTGTTATATTTGAGCCCACTATGGCTGCCACGGGGCCATTTGAGTGTCATCCTATTTTTTCCTGACCCTCTATTTTACCACAGATAATGTCCTTCTCTAGAGATTGGTTGGTCCCTCCTGATAACCTGTCCAAAGTATGTGAGACTAAGTCATGCCATTCTCCCTCCTAAAAAGCACTCTAGCTATACCTTTTCCAGGACAGATCCATTCGTTCATTCTCACAGTACTTTAAATACACTTCTCCAATACTGTAATCCAAAGACCAAGTCTTCGTCAGTCTTCCTTATGTATGGCTCAGCTTTCACCTGCATATGACTCTGGAGGGCTGGGGAGGATGGACTTGGTTGGATACGAGTCCCATGTTATTCCAAAGGGTGGGAGCTTCTTCACTGAGGAGCAGCTTCTATGGCTGGATGGGATGGAGCTAGTGGGAGAGACTTAGAACAGAAAGTTGGGTAGATGGGGTGAGACCAGAGTAGGATTTTGGAGGCCTTGAATGCCAGGAAAGCATTTGGATTTTCCTGGAACTAGGGCTGCATGTCAGTGCACTGGTGGGTACTGGTTTCACCTAGACTTGCAACTCGAAAGGTCCTCAGTTGGAACCCACCACCAGCCTGATCCTTGGGAGAAAGACGGGCATTCTAGTTCCTTAAATAAAGAGTTACCATCTTGGACACCCACAGGGGCAGTACCCTGTCTAATAGGGTCGCTATGAGTTGGCATTGGCTGCAAGTTTGGATTGTGGTTTGAGGGCTTCATGTAGATCCCTTGAGGAAATTGGACACACTAAGATAAGGGTATCAGCAAAGCTGAGGGGCACTGCGGGGGCCGTTTCCGGGTTCGATTTTGTTTTTGTAACCTCATTGGCCTCTGCGGTTCTCCTATTCTCTACTCTCCCCCCAGCCCCGCTTTCTCTTGACCACTTTTTACCATTGTTCAAGTTCCCAAATATTTGTGGGGTTTTCTTTCGTGAGGTTTGTGCTCGATATTGGCACTTCAGTCTTCCTTTCTGTTCACTTTACCATACAAACAAGTCCCAAAGGCCTGCCATTCGGTCCCCTTCCCGAGGCCTCTTCTTTTTGGGGTCCCGGGTGGCCCAAAGGCCTCATGAGCCTGACCTTACTTTCCAACTCCTTCTCCAGGTCCCAGGGTGTGGAGGCATCTGGTCACTTACACTCTCTTCTCAGCCACAGAAGCTCCTCACCAATCCCACCCTGGCACTTCCTACCCCCACCCTCCCCACCCCCACCCCTGATCCTGACCCATGCAGTTTCCTCTCTTGTTTGTTTAGTCATTTGAGGGAGGAACTTCTGGCACACTGTCTCTCTTCCTCTGTCCCAGGTTCTCTGTTGCTAGCTGTGCTCTTTTGAAATGCCGGGCCCACCCTCTCACCCACAAGAAGCAGCTGGTTCTAAGTCAATTCTCATCTGGAAAATATAGGGAAAGAGCCCAGCTGTTTCACTCAGCTCTTGGCAGGGAGAAGGGGCACCCACCACCCCCACTACAGAGATTCTAGGGCATCACCCTGACTTCCCACTCCGGGGGAAGCAGTTGGCCTGCAGGAGCCAGAGGGCAGCCTCTGCAGAGGGGTGCTTACCACTTGCCCCAGGCAGCAGGAAGCCAGCCAGGGAGGTCCCAAGCAGGATAGGGAGCAGCCTGCATGCCATGACGTTTGGTTGAAGAGCGTTGTCTCCTGTCCACCGCCTGTGTGACAGCTTGCTGGGGCAAGGTTCAGCTCACTCACTCTGACGCCCCAGACTGGCTCTGAGGTCCTTCTGCCTGTCACAGCCTCCTGATTGGAGTATGGGGCCTCCCAGTGATGTCAGCTTGGCGCCAAAGACCAGGAAACCCTGCCCCCGGCCAGGGCTGCCTCTGCCTTCCCCTCTTCAGAACCAGGCGAGTCTGAACACTAGGGGATGGCCTGGCCGGTGCCATCACCCAGTTAGTAACCATGCCTGGGCTATTAACTGGAAGGTTAGCACTTTACAGGGTCAGATTAGCCAATAAGCAAGGTGAGCACAGATTTACTTGTGCTTACAATTTCTTTTCTTTTTTCCCCCCCTCTTAAACCATTTCCCAAATTCTGTTTCAGAGGTAGGGCTGGCATCTAGCTGTCTCTAGGTCATCTTCCTACAGAATCAAAGCCTCTTTTCTTCAAATTTATATTCTCTGACAAGACCAGAGTACTCAGAAAGCAAGGTATGCAGAAGCTTACCTGTACTTACTTGGAAAAAAGCCCTGATGAATCTACTTCCAAAAATACCAGAGCCATCAGAAGCCTTCTGAGCAGAGTTCTACTTTGGCACAAGTGGGAGCCCATGAGCCAGAATCTTCTCCGTGGCCACTAGGTTGACCTTTATCCTGGTGGTATGCAAATGTATCTTTTGTTCTAAAAAATAAGTCAAAATATCATTTTACAGTTTTTAGACAGGTTTGTATCTAGTCCTTACCTCAACAGTAAAAAGTAAATATTATTTCTATCATCTTTTTTTCCAAAGTAAATAATGGATATTTGGAGTGATGCTAGCTGCATCTTAGCTTAAGGTCAGTCGTGGTAGACGTGGGATTCAAACCCAGATCTTTCCAGTCCAAATCCACTGCTTTTTCCTCCTGGTCTGAAATGAGGCTTTTGTTTTGGGGTTCACTTTTCAGGTGAGTATGAAGCCCTGCTGACGTAGTGGTTATATTTGGAGCTGCTAGCTGCAAGGCAAGCGTTCAAAACCACCAGCTACTGGGGGTGGGGGGTGGGGGGGCAGGGAGGGAAGATGAGGCTTTCTGTTCCCAGAAAAAGTTACAGTCTCAGAAACCCACAGAGGTAGTCCATCCATCCTTTCAGGTTGCCATGGGGGCTGGAATTGACTCATGGCAATGCATTTGTATTTTGTTCTTGTACATAGAAACGTTCTGGCAGGACAGGTCTTGACATTTGCTAGGTCATAAATGCTTTCCTTGCTACACAACTACACAGCTGAGGGTTCATTTTCTCACAGTCCTCAGTACTCCCCATTCTCTGTTGCTCTAGACCAGGACGCTTTAGAAAGCTTGTGAAACAATTCCATGACGGAATTCTATTTTTTCTACCAGCCTTTTGAAGCCTCCTTGTATGCTTTTGGTTGGTTGATCGAAGTCCCAAGAGCATGGGTTGTTGTTGTTTTTCCATTTTGCTTATTGCTGGATCCCCAATACCACCTTGAAGAGAGGCTGGTCACAGAGTAAACCTGTAAACCAAACCCACTGCCATCAGGCAGAGTCTGACCCATAGAGGCTATATAGCAGTGGTTCTCAACCTTCCTCATGCCACGAGGCTTTCATACAGTTCCTCATGTTGTGGTGACCCCAACCATAAAATTATTTTTGTTGCTACTTCATCACTGTAATTTTGGTGCTGTTATAAATTATAATGTAAATATCTGATATGCAGGATGTATTTTAATTGTTACAAATTGAACATCATAATGCATAATGATTAATCACAACAGCAATATGTAATTATAGATTGTGAAATATTTATTTCTGATGACCAATATATAAAATTTTGTCTTGAAGCTTGGTGTAGCATGGGCAACAGTCTTAATATAACAACAGTAAATTATATTGCTACATTTTGTGACAGTATGCGCATGGTATCAGGCGACCCCTGTGAAAGGGTCATTCGACCCCCAAAGGGGAGGGAACACACAGGTTGAGAACCGCTGCTCTATGGTTGTAAGCTTTTGCAGGAGCAGGCAGCCTCAGCTCTTCCCCATGGAGCAGGTAGCAGGGCTGAACACCTAATCTTTAAAAAAAATCATTTTATTGGGAGCTCTTAGAGATAACATAATATTCTTGGCATCAACTCCTCAATTTTCCCCACCGTCCCTGCTCCGTCCTTGCTCCAACGTCCCTCATGAACCCTTGATAATTTATAATTTATTATTTTGTCATATCTTACACTGTCCAACTTCTCCCTTCACCCACTTTTCTGTTGTCCATCCCCCAGGGAGGTGGTTATATGTAGGTCCTTGCAATCAGTTCCCCCTTTCCACCCCTTCCCTCCATCCTCCCAGTTCAGCAATGGTCTGGAAGGGATCATCTGTCCTGGATTCCCTGTGTTTCCAGTTCCTATATGTACCAGTGTACATCCTCTGGTCTAGCCAGATTTGTAAGGTAGAATTGAGATCATGATAGTTGGAGGGGAGGAAGCATTTAAGAACTAGAGGAAAGTTGTATGTTTCATCGTTGCTACACTGCACCCTGAATAGCTGTCGCCGCCCCGCAACCCTTCTGTAAGAGGATGTCCAGTTGCCTACAGATGGTTCTTGGGTCCCCAATCAGCACTCTCCCTCATTCACAATGATTTGATTTTTTGTTCTTTGATGCCTGATACCTGATCCCTTCAACACCTC